CATCCCCATCCTCCCAAATCCCAAAGGCCCTTCATTAAACAGAGATCAGGAAAGAAGGCAGCCATGCAATAATTTTCTTTGGTTATTCGAGACACAGATATTAGATTAAATTTAAGTTCAAGAGCAAACAATACATCATTGAATTGAATATTGTCAGCATTAGTTACGTTTCCTATATGTGTCATAGGTAAACACTAACCATTAGGAATTTTGATAGATTTAATGGGTCCATTGTAAATCCTGTATTCATCTATGAAATTCAAATTTTCAACCATGTGCATTGTGACCCCAGAATCTAATATCCAACTAGTGCAAGATGTATATTGAGAGGTAGAATCATGCAAACCTGTACCAATTAATGCATGGCAGTTGGTTCTGGGTCCTTTTGCGATAGTTCCAGGATCCTTTCATATTGTTCTTGAGTAAAGGTATGTGTGACGGTTACATAAGCCTCAAATTCATTTGCTGCATCTCCACTTGGATTGTTGTTCTTAGTCTGCTTCCCTTGTTTCCCTTTGAAATTAGGGGGATAACTGATATTTGGAAACAATTCTCCTTCACATGCCCTTTCTTGTGGCAGTGAGTACATTCAGGAAAATTTTCACCATGTGCCCTTCCTCTCCCACAACCCCTGCCCCTAGCGGCCATGGCAACACCTTCTGCAAAGATGCTTCTCTCTGCACTTGTTATCACTTGTTGAGCTTCATCCTGAACTATCATTGCATAGGCATCGTTTATAGTAGAAAAAGTAGACATTAACAGGATTTGGCTTCTGGCATAGGTGAAAGATTCATTGAGCCCCATCAAGAATTGAAGCAATTTCTGTTCCTAAATGGCTTCATCATAAGCCTTCAATACCTCACATTTACATGATGCTATAACAACCAACAAAGCCTGCTCCTCCTAGAGTTCCTTAAGCTTACAATAGTGAAACAAAACAGAGGAGGAGCCTTCTCCGAGGGAACTAATTTCCCAATAAAGTGCAAAAATCTGAGCATTGCTCCTTTTGTTAAATCTTTCCTTGAGATCCAACCAAGCTTGATACGCACTTTGGTAGTAGATTACTCTATTAGCGAGTTCTTTGGATACAGAGTTAATTAGCTATAATAAAACTGCAGCATTGCAACACTCCTATTGAGCATGTAGTCTTCCTTCCTGATCAACCTTTCAGCATATCCCCTCCACAAAGCCAAGCTTATGCTTCCCTAGTAGCGCAATTTGCATTGCGTAGCTCCAGAAAGTGTAACTCTCTATTCCTTTGAGCATATAAGGAATAACAAGGAGCCCTGGGCGTCGAAAGGATGAAGAGAGAGTGGGTGCGAGAATGGCAGACTCTCAATCAATTTTTCTTCTCCTATTGGAAGTTGTTTGCTAGGGTTTTAGAGTGAAGAATTAGAAAGAAAGTGAAGCTTAGGCCATTTAAACGGGTTTCTTGAATCTAAACCCAACCTAGCTCTAATACCATGTTGAGTTGGGCCAGGCAATTGAACCCAACACACTAATACACTGAAGGAGGAACTGAAACATTCATTGAATCTTAGTTGTGTGAGATACACTGCATTAGTGAGGCCCACAATTTATACATAGATCTGCTTAAGCAAAATGCAACCTATGTGACAAATAATTTACGTCTTTCATTAGTAAATTCAAATGTTATAATCGAATTTGGTAAATTAATCGTGTGTCACTTTTCACATATACAATATTAATTTGCATGCCTTTGCGTACTTTAATATTAAAAGCTTGACACATATAAATGTAAATGATTTTATTCATGTTTGAATATATATGATGGTTAACAGAAAGGAAGCTTTGCTCTCAAGTCTCAACCACGTACAAATGAAGCAGACCTTATAATGGTCTGCCCATATATATAAACTTACGGAGCTACATGAAGAATTAGTAATACAAAACATGCACACATATCACATATGGCCACAAAATAAACAAGCGGAAACTACAGCACAACGTTAGAGTTAGACTCATCCCAATCACAATTCGAACATTTGAAGGAAATTGATCATATACGATTCTGTTACCTACAACAATAAATCCAAAAATGAAATGCAGCAATCATTAAATATAAGATAAAATACAATAAGTAAATCAAATCAGTACGTGTGCAAATCAAATCGAACCAAGAATATTGTACTTAGATGATGTTGTACTCACCATAAAGGAAAATAGCTTTTAATAGAATTTAGCTCCTTGATGACATCAGTTGCACTCATTCTTTTATGAGATGATTCCATTCAACATGTAAGTCCAACCTCAAATAAAGAACACAAGCATTTCTCAATATTAGGATGGATTCGCATCATGTTTTTTGATGATTCTCCTGATACTACCACTGTATGTTCTAATTCTTGTGGAAGAATAGTCAGGCTTGCAACCTCCAAAAGTTTGTTTGGGAATGAAATTTTCACACATGTTTGAAGATTGTGGCCATCTTTAAAAGTACCTTCGGTCCATCTTCTTTTAGTTAACTTTGCCACTAGAACAATGAACTCATGTTGGGTTTGATTGTGTGAGTACTTTTTAAAAAAAATTAAAATTTCACATTTCTCTTAGAGAGTTTACTCTTCACCATCATTCATGAATCCATTTAATTCAATCAATCTAAGTGATATAGACACATATGTGACTTATAATTTTTTTTTTTTTTTAGATTTACATGAGACTCTTAGTGTGTGGTGTACTTTTGAGATATGTAATTCATATGGAATTGTATATTATAAATAATGTTCATGTAGCTAGAGTTTAAAAGGACTTAGTACATCAATCTTGCTAGTATATATGTTTTTTTCTTTTTTTTTCTTGTTAGTATATATGTTACTTAGAAAAATAAAGAACGAATTAATTTATATAATTTGCTCGCTCTCCCCAGACGCCGTCCTTTTTTTGTTGTTGCTATTTTTCAATTTTTGTAATTTCCTTTAAACAATACAAAACTAATTATGAAAACCAAAAAAGAAAGAGTCTATACGAGATGCGTCAAGTGGATATTGAAATGGAACATCTATTTATAATTATAAATAAGCTGACAGAAGTAACAAGAATAATAATAATGAAAAATTAATCTGCAGGTCCTTATAATTTTATCTAGTCTTAAATCGAGTTCTTATAGTTTTTTGTCCTTTCTATTACATTCTTATTGTTTATTCTGTTAGTGGTGTTAGTCGTTCTGTCAAAAAAATCCTTACAAACCCCGTAAATTTGAGTTAACAGGGATGAAGTGATCTGAGTGAAATCTGACTAAGGACACATCTATAATCTTCAATTCTTCATTTGCCTCCTTGCACGGCAAGGCAACAGTCGCTGTGCTATGCCCTTGCGTCTGCATTCTGTGCTCACCAACCTCATGAGCACGGGCTGGCATTTTGAGTGCTAAGCAGGGACCTTTTTTTTTTTTTTTTTTTTTGCTTTTTCTTTCTTTTTGTTCTCCCTTTCTTACTCAGTAAAATTACATTGTATTGCATCATAAAAAAACACCACATTGTAATAGAATTATTTTTGAGTTAAAGTTCATAAAACACCTTAAAATATATTTTTTTTAAAAGTGTCCCATGTCTTAAAGTATTTTGTAATATTGCACACAAATTATTTTAAGACACTAAATGTACTTGAAAAAATAATTTGGGATACCCAAAGAATCACAAAATACTTTAGAATACTATATTTTAAAATATTTTTTCATGTACCTAGAGTATTCTTAAATATTTTGTGATGTTGTGTCACAAAATACTTTAAGATACTAGATACACGGGAAAAAAATATTTCACAGTATTGAATGAAACATAAAATATTTTAGGATATTAAATCTTGAAATATTTTTTTCAGGTGTGTTTAGTATCCTAAAATATTTCATGATATTGCATCACAAAATATTTTGAGTAGTGAGGGGCTTTTTTTCCTTTTTTTTTTCTTGGTCACAACCAAAAAAATAAAGGTATTAGAATTATTTTTGGTTAGGATCCATCCAGTTTTTAAAAAATATTTTTTCAGTTGCTTTCAGTACTCTAAAATATTTTATGATTCATTTAACAGTCTAAAATATTTTTTAAAATATGTCTAATAATTTAAAATATATTGTGATATAACATCATAAAATACTTCAAGACACTGAACTTACCTGAAAAAATATTTCAATGTTTAATAATTCTAAAATATTTTGTGATTTATCTATTACTCTAAATTATTTTTTCAAGGGTGTCCTGATATAATGTGATTTTAATGAATAATTAAGAAAGGAGGAGGGGGAAAAAAATACATATATAAAGGTCCTTGCTTGTACTAAACGAAAAAAAAAAAAAAAAGTCCCTGCTGACGTTGTGGGCTGTGGGTCAGTTTCGGGCGACGGAACTTCCGAAACTCATCAATTACGCACATGGCAAGATTTGCCATAATGAGGCCTTCTAACCCAATCAATGTCACAGAGTCTTTTTGAAGAGCCCCTTATTACCTAGTGCTTTGGTTTCAATGTCTATGAGCCATCGATGAAGCAGGTCCAGGATATCATGGCTGCTCCAGCATCCTAGCCTTCTATTTTCTTTATTCATTTTGACCATGAACGAATATGTAATAAAACTGTGAGGGAAAAGTTGGAGAAATAATCTTATAAATCATCATAGATCACATGATGATGCATAGTAAGATTTTATTCAGGCCACATCAACCCTGTTAACTCAAATTAATGGCGCTTTAAGGTTTTTTGACAGAAGGACCAACACCACTAACAGAATAAACAATAAAGATGAGATGGGAAGAAAAACAAAATATAAAGACCTGATTCAAAATTGGATGAAATCATAAGGACGTGCAGATTAATTTTTTCTCATTATGATTATGATTGAAATGAGACACATCACAAAACGTTACGTAACACAACACACCAACAAAAGCCAGATACATATTACTACCTTAGGGCCTATTTATTTTATATATATTACACATAAGCCACGAGAGAGGTAACATGTTAAGGTGTTGCTAATGAAGAATGGTTACACAAAAGAGAGAATGGGCCTCAAACGAAAGAAATTGGAGCATAAGTTGACTTTGGCATAGAGATTATAGCCTGCGGTCGGATCCAGCCACTGGTTCAGCGGGAAGGCTACCTTGGTAGATTTGTAACATCCTACGACGTCGATCTCCACGTAATCCGAGTACCACCCTGGGTATGTCCCTCTCCCATCGGAGACGACAGTGATGGCGCAAAGATCGAGGCAAGGGCCGGTGCCGCTGAAGACGTCGAGTTTGCCCTGCTCGAAGTAGTTGTGACCGGGTTCCATTATGCCCCAATCTTCGAGGTAGTCGACGGAAAATCCATTGCCGGAAGATGTGTTTAACTTGAGGCTGATGTTGGAGTCTGTTGATGCATCTTGGACATCTCCCGTCTTCACTCGTACAACGTACGCACACTTCGCCTGCATGCATGCGTATAAAAACACACAGAACCAAGTACGTGGAAGGAATATATAAAAGCTTAAAACTAAAAATGGATCAACACAAGAGAACAATTACTTACAGATGTAGCCATTGCAGCGAAGCTGATGAGCGAGAGAAGAAAGACAAGGGAAGACAATGCAATAACTCTGAGAGCCATTTGGTTAATTAGTTTGTGACCCTATATGGATATCGGTGCTGAAACAACCTAAATGCGTGCCTTTATATAGGGCCACAGACTGTAATGATCCCGAAGAATTGGGCCCAAGTCAAACACACGCGTCTAATAAAGCCAGAAGGAGCCAGAGAGTGACTTGAGTGAGGCGGAAAATGTGGGAATACTACAGTTATAACAAGAAGAGAAGTAGATATGATATTATACATCTCATTTCCTTTTCTTTTTGATAATACTCTTTTTGTTCTTAATATACAACTTATTTAACTAATTTAATTAGATTAAAAAAAATTAAGTAAGTTAATTAATTATAAGAAACATGACATGTTTTTTCTAAAACACTATAATCATCTTCTTTAATATCCTCTATCTCTTCTACTTGATTATAGTTAAAAGAGTATCAATAGGAATAATTTTAAAAAAACTCAATAAATATGAGAAATATGTTTTATATTTAGAAGTAAATCAACTCAACAATTAGGTTATATATTAAACACCTTACTATGTATCCTTCCTCTTAGCTTTCTGTCATACGTTTTCTATATGTCCTCTTTTGTATTTCTCTTGCTACGTACACCTTTATTTATATACTTCCTTTGTCCCTTATAATAAGATCTAATTTTTTAAATAAGGTTTATCCCTTTTTATAAAATTCTTTTTGAGTTTATTTGAACATTTAATGCATTATTACATATTTTACCCCTAGTTTAATGTGTTTAATATATTCTCTTTCTTCATTTATCTTACTATTACTCTCTCACATCTATCTATTTATAAATAGTGGTATATTTAAAAAAATTATATTTATTACATATTAATTACTTTTAACTAATTTTAACTATTTTCTTAGAAGATACAATTTAGTTAAAACGATCGGGCGACAAAATATCCCCTCAGAGCGTGTCAGTCTTCTCGATAATTTAAAGTACTTAAATGCACGTTTTTGTATTTGCATTCCTCGGCAATCTAGTGCGAATGCGATTTGGCAGGTCGGGTTTACTTTATCTAGCTATTTTTAAATATAAAAACCATTATACTCAAATGATAAGGTCCCAAAACAATTTTCAATTGTAAATCTCATGTGGATAAATGATCTTAATTAAATTATATTTACAAAGGTGAAAATAAATGGAGTATTCTGGTTATCTCTGCTTTCTATGCGAAGCCCTATATTATACTCCTCCATCCTTAATATAAAATCCATTTAACTAATTTGATTAAATTAAGGAAGTTAGATAAGTTAGTTAATTATAAGAAAAGTAACACATTTTTTCTAAAATACCATAATCATCTTTCTTAATGCCTCTCTCCCTCTTCTACTTAATTATAGTTGAGGGAATATCCTTAGAGGTAATTTACAGAAAATTAATAAATATGAGAATTGGGTCATATATTTAGGACCGGAGGAGTATCTACAATGTTTCGTGCTATGAGTGATGCCAAAGTCTTGTTTGGTAGGAAAAGGTATTCACTCTCTTACTATTATTATATTGTTATTATTATCAAATAGTATTATTTTTTTATTACAAAAGAAAAATATATTTTTATGATTATATGATAGTTAATTGTTGTGTTGTTTTTTTTTGGCCAACAATTGTTGTGTTCAAGTAGTTTAAAATAATTATGATTATGATTTTTTTGAAGCAGTATTATTAATATAGTTTATACATTGTAAAAAAAAATCAGACAAGAATGTCAAATAGAGGGTGAAGGCAAAGGAATGTACGTAGTTGCTAGTTTGTTGGGCTGGGAAATGGTATTTTAAAACAGTAACTAGCATCAGTAATTTTTTTTCTTTCCATTTAATAATGATGAAAACCGAAAATGAAAGAGTCTATATATATACACACACATGCATATATGAAACTCTAAGATAATTTTATCAATTTAATGTATTCTTTAATACACGAAAATGGAGTATAAGTGACTTATATATATATATATATATATATATATATATATCTTTAATACACGAAAATGGAGTATAAGTGACTTATATATAAAAATACAGAAATAAAGTGATATGAAATTAATATTGACCGTCTTGTAGGCTTGCTGATTGAAGTTTTATGTTTTATTCATTTCAGATATTGTTGGATTAATGTGTATGTTTATAGATTTTGGGCCTTCGATCTGATCATGTCTCAAAATCAGTTGGTGGTTTTATATCTATCGTTAATTATTGTTTCGTTAAATAGATTGTCTCCAACGTAAAAAAAATTACCGTAAATTTACTATTTTCTGTAATGCACCCGGCAAATGGATTTGTTGGGTTGAAAATACAGATACTTATTTGACATCTTCCTCCATATCAATATGTTACCTTCAATTCTATAAATAAATATATATATATATATATATATATATATAAGAGCTGGTTGATAAATTTGAGTATATTAAAAAAAATTAGTTAAATTAAGTACTTATAATAAATATGTGTTGTTTTTTTTAAAATACTTTTGCTAATCATATGTATTAGCTTAAACTATTATTTGATAAAATATTTAACATGTGCAATTATTACAAGAACTTGAAGGGAATTGAAAGACGACGCGCAGTGGAAAAACTAAAAATTTTAAAACTTTCAATCCCTTGCCCGGATCTACCGATCGCGTTTAAGTCAGGTAGTAAGAAGTATTACCTTCGGTGTTTGGTTTCCGAGTGGCTTGGTGATTCCGCCGTTCAGGATGCCTCTGCTCGCCTCCTTTATCGTTCGAAGTCGACAACTCCGGTCGGCTTCCTCTACCGGTATCCACACGAATAGCTCTCCGGTTACAGACGGCTTGCTAGCGCCCTTTTGTCCGTCTAGGGTTTTCAGAGAATCCGTCCACTCTTATCTCTCTTAGGCCGTCTCTTATCTATTGGTTACTCTCACGCTTAAAACTCTAGCTCCTCATATCAAATATATAGGATGCTATAGGTTTAATGAATAATATTTAATTTTGAAATTAACTCTAAATTAATTCCGAAATTAATACAATATCAAATATTGCCTAATCAGATAAGAGAACAATTAAATAAATATGGTTTAAATTAAATCCGTCTCACAGATTTAATTCACCTATTTATTTAATAAAGAGATGACGGAATTAATTTATATATATTTAATTTATCCTTATAAATTAAATCTAACAATTAATATCTCTTATATTTATATAATATATATATATACGAATTTATATATATATACACGTCCACCCTATATTATTCATTGAATCTGGACATATCTTAGATTCAATGAATCTGGACATCATAACTCGTGTTGGGCTATTTTGTGTGCGACCCTGTAGGCCCATATGAAGTTGGCAGTAGGCCATTAACTATAATGACTCACAAGTCGTAAGCGGTCTCTAGCAAGACATCACAACTATCCAAATCATATGAGGATCGTTGAACGATGTAACCTTTCATACAATCATATCACGTCCCTTTTGTCACACGACATTTTGGTCATGGATGAGGCATGGAGAACGTCATCCTCCTATTCATGACCGTTACTTTCTCGATCCCTGAGTAGTCTGAGTATAGAAACGGAACTACCTTTCCATTATAGTATGGCCATACATTTCTCAGACTCACTCATCGAGGGGCCCAGTAATATCTCTCTACGAATGTGAGGGACAAATTCCATCTTGACCATTCACATTCCTCCGCATGAAAAACCACTAAGCCTGAACATAGTCTTTATGATCACTCGGTCAAAAGTGACTTTTGACTAGGTCAAAGCTAAGCGTTTCTCATGTAGGAATCCATGATGATCTCAGGTCAAAGGGCACAGTGACATGGTTTGTATATGAGAGAAGCTTATGACTTAACCCATGCAGCTCTCTCATAGCGGGTCGGTCCAACACCTTGTACTCTTACATGTGCCTATGACTTTAATTTATATCTCTATATATCTTTAAAGTCATACTGGTCTTATTTCATCTTTGCTCCCACATAGATGACCGACCAAGGACATTTAGGATAAACCATGAGTTTTCCAAGGATAGTCATCACAGTAAACATGCAAATAATATGATAACGTAATTAATAAATTCATAAATTAACAATGTTCAAAACATAATGATTGGCCCCTAGGGCACAATTTCCAACAGAACTATCTTAAAAAATAGATAAATATAAAAAAACAAATAATTTAAGATCTTATATTTAGAATTAAATTAAATATTAAACTAACTTTTATACTAAAGGTAGAAAGTAGCATCATGCATAACAGTACTTTATTTCCAAGCTTGTTCGTTTGCGCAGGATTTCAATTCTCAAGCAAGCCTCCGCCCTCCGGCAGTTACGAAAGGCCATCTTTCACGCTGTGACTGGGTTCGGAGGGACAATAACTCAACAATTCAACAACAACGAGTTTCGTAAGAAAAGCCTTTGTCACTCTCTATTCATTTTATTATTTGGATATGTTGATCCGTGGGATGTCAACTTTTCCTTCTCATAACGTTCTTTGTACAAATATCCTCTTCATTCATCTCCCATATTTTTTTGGATATGATGATCCGTGGGATGTTATACCTTTTCTTCTCATAATGTTCTTTCCACACATGTCCTTCATCTTCCTTATTTTTTATTCTTTTATATATTATCAGACTTATTTCCTTCGAACACACGTTGTACATTCGCAAGAATTAGATATGGGAGGCGAAAGAGCTTTTTTCTTTTAATATATTTTTAAAAAAATTAAATTAAGACATTATTTTAATATTTTTCCCATTATTTACATTTATGACTAATGCTTATTATTATGAACACTCTTAACTTAGTTATAAATTTAATTATTTTATTTTTAAGTGGATACTAGATAACAACTGTCCTTGTTTACATGGATCAAAATGAGCCCATTAGTCAAACCAAAATTTGAAGCTTGAACCCACATATAGTTCAAATAATTAACTTAACTAATTTTTTTAATATTTAAAGATTAGTTATGTTACTTTTACATTGAGAATTGGAGGTAGTATTAAAGAAATCAGTTATCT